CCGCGCGCAGCACCCGCGGGGTGGTCTCCTTTACCCTGCTAGCGCTTGCAGTCAGACGCAGCTGCGGTCCGGAGCGAGATGGGCGGAGCCTGAGCAGGCCCGGGGAGTGACGGGCTGGGACCTGCTGAAAACCCGACCGCGGTAGAGCAGAATGGGTCTGGCGCCGTGACACCGCGCATGCGCATCAGGTTCGTGACTCCGATCAGAATCCAGCGCCGGGGTTTAGCTCAGACTGGGAGCTGCCTGGTCACGCCCCCTGAGGGGGCAACTCCCCGGGCCACAGGCTTCTTCCGCTTCTCGGAGCGCGGTACAGCCCGCAGGTGGGCGGAGCATTTGCAGCGCGTGTAACAACACGGGGTGGTCTCGTGACACCGCGCATGCGCATCAGGTTCGTGACTCCGATCAGAATCCAGCGCCGGGGTTTAGCTCAGACTGGGAGCTGCCTGGTCACGCCCCCTGAGGGGGCAACTCCCCGGGCCACAGGCTTCTTCCGCTTCTCGGAGCGCGGTACAGCCCGCAGGTGGGCGGAGCATTTGCAGCGCGTGTAACAACACGGGGTGGTCTCTCAGTGCCGGGTTGGGCGTGTCCCGAGGTGGGAGGTTCTGGGCGGGGCCGGCGCGCGCTGCTGGGGCTGCAGGGTCCGCTCTGGGCCCCACGTGGCCATGGAGCGGGGCAGGGGGAGGCTGGGGGACCGGCTCTTTGTTTCAGGGGCGGGCCCAAGAGACACCCACGTGGGCCAGTCCCGGTTTCTGCCCAGCGCGTCTGGTTGGTCTTTGGGAGACGCGCGTGCGCTTACCTGAGAGCTTGTGCTACTCATGTCCGGGCAGTGCGCATGCGCAGCGGATCTGGTGTAGTCTGCCCTTCTCTCTGCTTGCAGGAGCTGTGAGTTTTGCTTAGTCCCTGTCAAAAGCCTTTCGCAAGGGAGGAAAGTGGCTCAACCGTGGAGGTGGCTTCTCCTTGACTTGGCGAGGGGGTGGAGCAGATGCAGGTGGGGTTAGGGTGGGTAACTTTTGGGGCCAACTCAGCTCTGGTGAGGGGAGGGGATGCTAGGTAAACTGCAACACAGAGAGCAAAGCCCCAGCACAGGGAAGCTTCCCCAGTGGGAATGAGGCTCAAGTCAGAGAGTGGCCCTGGCAAGGGGCCTTTTTATTTGCTTAAACATTTATTTAATCACTTATTCACCTCGGAGGCACTGAGCATGCTCAGTAGGGCTGCAGCCGCCCCTGCATTTTGCCATGCCCACTCTATCTATATGTTTTTGCTTACTGCATTTTAAAGGTGTTTAAAAGGTAAAAAGGGTGCTAAAGACAAGACATGAAGTCTCATAACATTTTTCACATTTCTTTTGTCTTGTTCCCGGGACTCACAGAATTGCACTCCTGTCTCTGCAACCCATATTCATTATTTTGCTCTGTGTATATATGTCTTGTACTGTAATTACTCTGTGCAATGCACAGTGTTGGGGGGAGACGATACTTGAGTCAAAGTCCTGCTACTTTGAAACAAATGTAGGTGAAAGTCAAAGTAACCTTCTGCAAAACTACTTGAGTGAAAGTACAAAAGAATCATGTCTTAATTGTACTTATAGTAATAGAGATGTAGCCGTGTTAGTCTAGTCTAGCTAAAACAAAAAACAGGACTATGTAGCACTTTAAAGACTAACAAGATGGAAAGCTGTGATGGCACGTTGGGGGTTCCCCGTCTCCTGCACCCCGAAATGGCACAAACAGACTGTACCAGCCAGTGGAATTGAGGGTGGTTTATTGCTCCTCCAGCACAGCGCAGCACAGATGTAATCTGGTTACAGGAACTGGGCTAGGAGGCCTCAGGCCCCCTTGAGATGGGGGAGACTGGGCCCCTAAACTCCAGCTCCTCTCCCTAGGCTGTCTCATCCATCCTCCCAGACAGCCACCAACCAACTAACTACATTCCCTTGCAGCCCTGCCCCCCCCAGTCAGGGCAGCATCCACCTTCCTTTGTTCCTCTCCATGGGGGGTGTCTGGCCACTGGTTCAACCAGTTTGGCCTTACCTCTGCCTAGTGAGGTTTTCCCTGCTGGGTCTTGCTCCAGACAGCAGGGGTCACCACAGCCCAGCAAGTACCCCCACTACGTCACAAAAGCTCATCACCTAATAAACCATCTTATTAGTCTTTAAAGTGCTACATAGTCCTGTTTTTTGTTTTAATTGTACTTAAGTATTGAAAAGTAAAAATGAGTTGTCCTATGGAACGCTGTGCTTAACCACCCAAGTTCTTGCAGGTCACCATTATTTCTCTCTCTCTCACATACACATGATATATATACACTTACAATATAACTCTCTATATTATATACACACACATACTATACATTTTTCAATGATGGAGTTTAACGATAGTCACTGCCTTCATTTATAAAGATGAAGAGTGACCAAATTAAATACAAGTCAGAGTACAGAAATGTATTTATTTTGTCCACATTCACAGTGTGCATTTTTAGCATTTTTCCGTTGTAACAATTAATTTCTAAAGTGTTTGTTCAAGGGTAGGAGCATTTTTTCAAAATTATCAATCCTTGCTGTTCTATGAAAAAAATGAGTCCATCACATGGAAGAATCTCTCGCAGGCAGCTAATGGAGACAGAGGTCTGTTGGCCCTGATGCACAGCTCCCTCATTCTAGGAAAAGACTGAAGCAGATCTCTGGTCTCTCCTGAAGAGGCCGAATACCCATCAAGCTCCTTTGCAGTTTTATTGGTCTAAAATGACATAATCTCTTACCTTTTCTAATCCCAGTTTCGTGCTTGTTCCAAGTGGTCCTAACATTTGGCATCAAGATGTCAGTTGCTATTTGCTCCAGGTCTTCAATTATTTCACCAAAACACTTCTGACTGCCATACTGGAGTCCATCTACCAGTGACCTCGAGGGCATCTTGTTCCTTTGCAGATTTGAAAACATCTAGTATAATTTAAACTTAAAAAAACATGTGGTTTGTTAACATTCTACACACTAACAAAACATATAGATGGTATTGTGAGATTTCGTGGGCACAGCTCACTTCTTCAGATGACCGGAGTTTTGAGTTTTGGATGTGCAGATGTTTTCAGGGAACTATCCACAATGATTCTAAGATCTTTCTGGGGTGGTAACAGATATTTTAGACCCCATCATTTCCTTGAGCATATCTGGGATTATACTTTTCCATGTGCAATACTTTGCACTTATCAACAATGGATTACTTCTGCCATTGTGTTGCCCAATTACCTACTTTTGTAAGATCCTTTTGTGACTCTTTCCATTGAGCTTTTCAATTTCATATTTTGATTAATTTTCTATTATCTGCAACAGTTGCCATCCCACTGTTAACCACCTTTTCAAGATCATTGAAAAGTTTAACTTTACTGGCCCAACAGCAAATTCCTGCATCATAACCCTAATTGCTATTCCTCCCTCTGCCCATCCCCAGCTTTTTTTTTTATAACCAACTCATTGCTAACTAAGCCCTTTCAGATAGCATAGTATAAAAATTTAGTTTTTTTCTAAAATACTACTTTAGTAAAAGTCACACTATCACAAAAATAATTTAGTTGAGTCTGTCATACCTCGGTGTTCTCGTACCTCGGTACCTTCGGTGGTCTGGACTGTCAGTGTCAGCGTCGTCTGGTCAGGGTCGTCCTGGCGCGCTCCTAGCAGGACCTCTACTCCGTTGATAAACTTTCGGCTGCGTGCATAATAATCAGTACTCCCTTTATCTAGAGTGTTAGACCCCGTGCACTTGGGTCAACACGAGATCTCTGAAAGGCCCCGGAAACGACAGATGCAGGCAAGGTTTGAAATCAATCAAGCAGGTTTATTGTCAAATGCAAAGCTCTACCCGTTGGTTACAGAGATCAATACAATGTGACACCACTGGGCACTATGGCCCGCGTTGACAAGGTAACAACACCGGGCAGGCCTATTGCCATATATCAGATATTAACAGCACTTAGTGAAAGTTAAGTTACTGTGCATTCTGTAAGTTTAGGCAATGACACCTGCCGTTCAGGCACCTAGTGCGCTCCTCCCCCTCCCCCCAGGTCGGCTGGAGAGCACCTTTTGTGGTGTCCTTGACAGGTACAAACAACTGACATCACTTCTTTACGTACCAGGTTACCACCCTCCGTTGCCCAGTTACCACCTCTTACCTTACGGAAGGGGGGCTTACTTACTATCCTTCATGCTGTCAATTCTGACCTGGTCCTGAACCTAGGTCAGTATGTGCATTAGTTTTTAGGGAGTTTCTGTACCAAGACATTTCTTATTAAGATGTTCCATTACTCCCCTTTGGCTTACAGTCTGAACCCAGTGCCTCCCTGTGTCCTTCCATGCTCGACCTAACTTACACAATCACACAGTTATCAATAGGGCTTCTTTCTTGGCTCCTGTGTTACTGAACCAAAGTCTTGCTCACTAGATTGTGTGCATTAGTTTTTAGGGAGTTTTTGTACCAAGACATTTCTTATTAAGATGTTCCATTACTCCCCTTTGGCTTACAGTCTGTACCCAGTGCCTCCCTGTGTCCTTCCATGCTCGACCTAACTTACACAATCACACAGTTATCAATAGGGCTTCTTTCTTGGCTCCTGTGTTACTGAACCAAAGTCTTGCTCACTAGATTGCAGGCCTGTTGCTGTTTCCATGTTGCAGGCCTTAGGCCTGCTGACTCCATGTTACTGACCCTCAACTTACTACAGAGTCAAGTTCAAATTTCTAGCAAGGGAACTTGAGAATTCTAGAAGTATTTATCTGTACCTAGCAATTCTTTCTGTGATTAGCATATAGAACATGCTATCCTTTATTTTTATTGTTCTAGTACTACGTTCTGGAGGCCATAATATCCAGCCCGGAAGCCTAATAAAATAGCATCCCACTGCCCTCCACTGCTTGAACCAAGTGGATCATCAGACGGTTGTGGTGGATGCCAGACACAGCTAAACCACCTTGACAGCTCCCCTATCCTCATGCTCATCACTCTATTCATATACCGAATGGAGAACAGAAATCCCTACAGCAGAGCCACAAGGAACTCTTTGACACAAAAAGCACGGAAGCATTGCCTAATGGCAAATTCCTTCTCCTGATGCTAATGGCCTGCCGACACCCATGTCTTTAAGTATCAGGGCGATTCTAGGAAAAAGTCCTATAGCTATGGTTTTCAAAAATATCGAACATGGCTAATTGAATTATAAAGTCCTTCTAAGGCAGGGA